TTTTATGAAACTTCACTCAATTCAGAGTACATTTAAAAAAAGAAAAAAAAGTGGCACTGGACTGTGCAACGCTGATAGTGAATCCTGTTTGTGTACTCATGACTAAAAACAAACATCGGCTCTTAACTAGGTCGCCGAACTCTGTGACCACAGTGTCTGAGAAACCATATGGTGAGGTCTTTTTAAACTCTGCAGTTTAGGGAGTGTGTGATATTGAGCCCATCTTGTTGGGTCAAAATGCACAAACAGAAACCTGGCAGGGCAAGATAACCCACCACAGCCTGAGGGGCGTCAAAGTTGTCGTGGTTCCCAGCCTCTCCACTGCCAGAGCCATTCTCCTTGTCCTTCTTGCGGTTCTTCTTCTCCTTCTCTTTCTTTGCAGATGCAGATCCACTCTCATTGCTCTCTGTTTTTGGAGAAGGGGAATAATCATATCATAATTAAAGCAGGTGTTGGATTTACTGCTGCCTGGGTGCCAACTGCACCACCAAAACTGCTTATGTTGATGCCAAAGTGTAACTACAAGAACAGACAAAATCTCACCTGGTGGGTTTTTGAGGATGAACGTGCAGAGTTTGTGTCTGGTGTCTAGCATGCCGCGGTTTCCACAGGCCTTACAGGAAGTGCCAATGGTTTGTTTCTTGGGATTGACATGCTGCGAGGACGAATAAAAGCTTGTTAGATCTAAAAAGCAGCTCCACAAGTCTAATAAACACTGAGGAAATCTCTGCTTTATTAAGTTAAAATGTTTTTCTTTCAGGGTCCATTAACTTGTGAAATTACAATAAAAGCTTTTTCTCCCAGACTTGCGTTACAGATGCTGCGAGACATTTACCAGATCAGTTTCAGGGTTGTCACACTCGGTACACAGCACAAATTTTCTGATGAACCCATCAAGCATGTCCTGCAACTTGTTCGCCTCGTGGGATCCGTTGACGATGTAACGGTCGTTTTTGGTATCAAACTGGGTCTGAGCGCCGAGTTCACAACCAAAAAACTTGGTCGGGTCTGTGGAGGAGAACAGAAATGACGTCAGAGATCACAGTGAAGTTAAAAAACATCACAGTTTGTGTTCATGTAACCAAACAGTCTTTTTGAATATTAAAAATTATATTTTAGATTCCTGGAAATTTGTCTATCTTCCATTGCTTTATCGACACAAATGTCATCCCGTAAAATAACAGTGACAGCAGTGCTATCATGGTGAAGCAGTGTCATTTTGGGTGTTCACCTCCAAAATATCCTGTTTCCTATTCCTTATATACTTTGGTCCTGACTTGGAAAACCAATGTATTTATTTACAGCTTAATTTCACACTTATTAACACTGACCTTTCCTCCATTCAACATCCTCAACCTGAGATGACTGATGATTAGTGGTGTGTTTGATTTAAGTGTTTTTACTTAACCCCTTCACATTGTTTGAATGAATAATAATTCAGAAGTGATAAAGGAGAAATGTAAGTAAAGCTTCATAACAGAAAACCCAGCATCATTTGGTGCCGACAGGCAGCTCTTCTGGTTTTTGGTTGATGGTGCTGGCAACAACTGTCTTTTCCACAGATTGTGGAACACCAGCGATGTGGCGAGGTAATATTACTTACATGTTGGAGGCCTGTTCAGTGCCTTTGCAACATCAACCATGTTGACAATAACTGTCTTGATTCCATTCCCTTTGCCTTCAACCTGAATGGAAGATAAAAAACTGTTAGGGGAAAAGACAGCGTTTCCATAACAGAAACAAAGTCTCTGTACACACTTTCCAAACTGCATGTTATCTCAGGCAACGTTGATTCAGTCCAAGTCAACATGTTGAATGTTGTTCTTTCTACTTCTGTAATGACATTTCTGAGAACTTGAACATGTAGAAACTATTGTTCAAAATCTGTGACTGCAAGCCATTTACCTTGGCAATCAGACGGGGCATCTTGTAGCGATAGAACTGGTCTGACACGCTGCGGTTGACGTTGACAGACATTTTGGCTGGATGTTAACACTATCAGTAAGATAAAAGGATCTTGGTTGGGGATTTTTCGGGATCTTCTGTCTGGAAAAGAGGGGATGACATAAACGACTGCAAGCGTGCTCGGTCTCTGACATGAAAAACGTTGTGCCGCTGTGGCCGCAAGCTCCTTGCTTGAAGGCTAGATTTCCACCACACAGGTTCCAACGGCTGCGCAACAGCTCTAAAAGAGGAGAGGGACAAAAAAACAAAACTGTCAATATTTAATAAAGTTATTAAAGAATAGCTTCATATGTGTTCTAACCAACTTTCCAAAAACCGACTCTTTTCCAAGCAAAAACAAATTTTCTGATTTTTGCTTCTCTAACGTGAGGATTTGCTGCTTCTCTCTGCTCTATGTCAGAGTAAACTGAATCTCTCAGGTTTTTTATTTTAATGGCAAAGCCATTTATACAAATATAATTGACAGATTAAATCAATTATGAAAATTATCTTGAGTTGTGGGCCTAATTGTGCACCTATGACTTAAAGCAAAGTGGTAGTTTCCCAGTTCCATATGAGTAGGTAGGTCGTCAAGTCTGTTCCAGTTGTTAGTGAAGAACCCGTAATATAATTACAGGATTTTAATAACTGATTATATCAAAACCACCTCCTAATAAATTAAATAACAGGTTCAAGTGCCCATTCTGGTTCAAAAACTAAAAGGTCAGGGGAGACTGTGACAAAGGTTTTGTTGTTGTTTGACAGCTTATAAAACTTAAAAAAAAAAAGGAAAGAAAAAAAAAGCATAACATTGTGGTTGCAGCACAGATTATATAATTTATTTTATAATGGAAGTGGTCTGTACTCTAGACATATGAGAGTCCACAAAAATAGAATAAAACCGATTCCTGTGGTGCATGTTCACTCTTGACTGACTGGCACTATTCAGCCAGGCCAGTCTGAGTTATGACAGGGGATACAGGATCCCAAGACTCTCAGACAGCTGTGGGATATTCAGAGTCCCCTGTGCAAATATTTCTCAACTTAAACAAGTCTGAGCATACATTCCTGCATTACCAGGCTGATTTACAAATATGAAAAGGCTGGGTTCAAACCTCTGCACTCAGAAAATACTGCAAATCCAGCAAATATCCATGTGATCCAACAGCGAGCAAGCAAGCTCAGCAGATTAGTCCAAAGAGGAAAAATAAAACCCAGCCACAAAACTGGATGCTTTCCCCAGCTTTTGTGGCCATATACATACAAAAAAAGCCCTTTGTCTTACATGAGGGCCTCTGGCTTTAGTCACATAAGGCCTGTTCTTTTTAATAGGTCACAAACAGGAGGCCTAGCAGCTGCCAAACTCCCCCCTCACTGTCTCTCTGTCTCTGCTGACGGCTTTGATATCAACTCCCCAGTCTGTAGGATGTCAGGGTGATTCCACATGAAATGACTCACAACTGGCTTGTCAGTGGCACCGTGGAGTCCGAAGCTGAGGTGAATCAGAAGGGCAGAGGTCGAGACTATTTCAGGGGGAGGCTAGTTAGCTTAGCTGGATGCTTGGTGCAGAGTGCGTCATACAGTCACTGCACACGAGTGACGGGACTGGGAGACGCCATTTTGATACAGTGGCACAGAAAACATGACATACTGCACAATAAACACAGAGAAAAACACAACCAGGCACCACACACCTCACCAAACATTTAAAGACAGATCATAAACTGTGCCAAAAACTCACCGTTTTCGCAAAACAAAGACATAAACACAACGCTGATCGTCCAAGAGCCGCAGTGAACGGTGGTGGATGGCTGGTGCTGGTGTTGTATTGATTGCAGCAGGGGTTCTTAATGGTTTTGTGGCTCCCGAAGATGCACAGTTAAACACCCGAAAGCGTCCAAACGGTGCAGGTGCCAGGCTCGGAGACAGAGGGAGGGTTTCTGGAACGTCCTCGGGGTTTTCGGGGGGACCTTTCGAGAGAAGAAGCGTATTGTTATCCCACACAATCTAGCGGACTAAAAACGCCAACGTTAGCATCATCGGGTGTGACAGCCGTTTGTCGTTCACATAACTATCATTTCAACGATACTATGCTAAACAATCCTCAAATGTTCCATTAGATAACGCACCCTGAATGTAACGCAGCTCAAATGAGAAGCTAACTGGCTAAAGTTAACCTTACACGTGTTTCATCACCAAATTTCCCCGAAAAAAATCAGACAAATTATCTTTGAATATAAATGTGGTGATGCCACTAAATACTACGTGTACATACAGCTTCGCCGTTAGCGTTGCCCGTTATTAAATCGCGTGATAACGTGATAACTCCAGGAAATAGTCCGAACCCAGATGCTATAGCGACGCCAGTTAATAGCCGAGCGTTGTCGACGCAGTCCGGTGATGGTAATATGATTAAGTAGTATCTTTAACAACTGGTCAGCTAGCTATAGTTTCTCGATGGAAATACGAACATTGGTGTGAAATCCACGTCAGGCCAGGCCGACGAAAAGCGATGATTTAATTTCGGACCTTACCTCTCGAATGTTCTGCGAAGCACTGTTACTCACGGTGCTTTTACTGACGATGTCAAACTCACAGATAGAAAACGGTCAGCCCCTTCCGGTGGTATCATTGACTTCAAATTAAAGGTCCGCTTTCGTCGTGCTAGTAAATGTACACAATTCCTTTACGATACTAAATGTGGGACTTTAATTAGCCACTTTGCAAGGTATTTCAGCGTCATGAAATAATGTCAGATCTGTAATCTAACCTAGGACGGGTAATGAGACAACATGCCCCTAAGGCACAGACATGTAAAAGCCTACCCCACACCCCTTTTCTACAGGGGCATGGTACCCAGACTGGCCCTCTAACACATTGGGCCCCGTCCTGGGCTCGGTAAGCACGTTTAGCAATCCATCCATTGATTGCAACCGTTTAATTCACTGTAACCGTGACGGCAAGTTTTATATTCTTTACTTTGAAAAGGTAAAAGGAAGTATTATATCTTGCTTGACTCACCCTATGATATCCTCTGTTCTCATTGGCTGACGGCGTGACGTTGTACGTGCGTAGGCGCTTCCTCAACTTGACTCGCAGAAACAGCAAAATAGAAGATGGTGAGTATGAAATGGCGAAAAGGCCACGATTTCCCGCATTTGCAGCCCGCGTTTCGAGCATTTGGCTTGCGAGATGTTTTCCTAGATAATTGTGGACGCCAGGAGAGCGACATCGCGGTTTTTCGTGTGTCCACATAGTCTAAATATCAGGGTTTTGTTTTTTTAGTGAAGCTCCATTCCGAGATGGATCAACGGTCACATGACAGCTGAGCAGTTTAGTCCCCAAAAAATCAGTTCAGCAATCTGCAAGTCACTCTTTTCATTTGCACAATGTCTCTCAGTTTGTCATGTTCATTTATCAACCACCCGTGTTTTCTGTTTTATTGATATCGTGACATTTTTTTCACTTTTTCCTGTTTGCCAACCAGTTAGCTATCAGGGCTAACGGGCTAACAGCTACTCTATCTTATGAGGCACCCTCCCTGTGCAGCAATAATGATGTTTGTCGCTCAATATTTAACCACAACTGGACGTTAAATCATTTCTGAGTAAATACAGTTACTTAGAAAAAAAATGTTAAATTACATTAGAACCAAAGTTGCACATTTTTCATTCATTCTCTATTTTTCTGTGTCCTATCTAAATTTTTCTTAGGTTGGACAGTTAGGAGCAGGGCTGCAATTAAACATTATTTTCATTATCAATTAATCTGCCAATGACTTTTTCCATTAAAAGATCAGTTGTTTGGTCTATGAAAGTCTCATCATAGCTTCCCACACTCCAAGAGGACATCTTCTCATTTCTTTTTTGTCTCAACAGTCCAAACCTCCAAAACATTCAGTTTGCAATTTTATAAAACATAGAAAACAGAAAATCTTTACACTGGAAGAGCAGGAACAAGCACATTTTTGGCACGTAATCTTTCTAATCGATTACTTGACTAATCGTTTCAGCTTTAATTTGTACAAACAACATGTTTAGGATCAATTTGAATCTGCATAGCTTGTTGATTGTGACTAAATTCCAGTCAGCACTTTGATTTGCTTCACCACATGATTTTGCATTTGCTCACAATCAGTCAGGTGACTACAGTATTTTTTGCTTTATCATTATCACTAACCATCCACCATTAACAGTTGATTCAACCACATTGTTGTTTAACTTTTCTTATTTGTTTTTGGATGATTAATATCTGTCTACTTAATCCATTCACTTTTTAATTTCTAATTTCAGTTTTCCCCTCTTGTCCCAACTCTTTCTTGTCTTTTTTTTTTCTTTTTGTATTTTTTCCCCAATCTTTGATCATGCCTCGTGTCATTCTCTCCACACACACCCTGCCTTCCTCCCTGTCTCACCCGCTCCCTTTCCCCTCCACCCCCAACTCCCCCTTCCTTGCGTGTCTCCAATCAACCAGGCTGGTCACCGGGTAAGTGCCCTCTGCTCTGTGTTGGATCCCTGTTTTCTGCTTGCTCTTCTGCCTGCCACACTAACATGGGATTTGAATTGGGATTGCAAAGCTGTGGAGGTCTGCTGTTTCTGTGTCTCACAGCGCAACCGTGCAGTGATCTCTGCAAAGATGCTTTAATGATACTTTTTCTCAGCTGTTGTCCTAAACAAAAAACTTACTCATGACTCATTTAGCCAAATAAATACAGATTTAAGACAGCAGTAAACATAAAGCTTCCATATTAGTTTTCTAGAGCTTTTAAGAAACCTGTGGCACAGGTAGGGTAGGAGTAATATTCCTTAAGTTTTACGAATTAAATGTAGTATTTTTCCCTGAATGAAGGTTTTCCAATTCAGATGCTATTAGAAGGCCTGATTTTAGCAGTTGTTGGGTGAGATTAAAGCCAATTATGATTTATTTTGCTAGAAAAACAGGAATAAAAATTGATTGAGATTTAGTTACTCAAACAAATGAAATATTCAGCAGTGAGTTGACGATGCATGTGTATGAAGTGTCAAAAAATATTCCTATAATCGCAAACATTCAACCTTTGTCCCTCACTCACAGTTCCTGGTTTGTCTCAGAAATTCACCAGTTTTTCAGCTAATCTGATATTTGGTGAACGATGAGACCTTGAAATGTTGGTTTGTTACTCACCACAGTAGTAACTACTACTACAACTAATATTTGCAGAGTCTGTTTTATAGCCACTGGAGTTGTTATTTATTATGAGACCCTCAGGTTTGTTGGTGTTTGATTCTTTTTGACTCCTTGTATCCGTATGTCATATATCTGTTATTGAGTGTCTGAAATTCAACTGTGCTGTGTCAGTCCACATTTTTCCACTATTGTCTGTTTTTGGAATAAATAAGGAGAAACATTCAACACCCAGTTTGAATTCAGACAATCAATAGAGCTTTTTACTTACAAACATTGCTTATTTACAAGTTTGAGCTTTATGAATTTACCCTGATGTTTATCCACTGTACCAAATGAATCTGGAGAACGTTGTTGTTCAGGTGCAGTAACATAAAACGGGACACTATTTGGATTGTTTTAAAGAAGATAGAAGACAAATGAATGATAACTAACAGAGGAGTACAGTGGTTCTGGTGGAGTGTGTGTGCACAATCCTCTACTGCAGAAATGACCAGCGGCGTCCTGCAGTGCTCTGTCTCAGCCAACTTCTTCTTTCAATGTTCAGATGCCACAACACACAGTCTGCACTCTCCCAGGGCTCATCAGTTGGTAACTAACCTGAGTGTGTGTGTGTCTGCGTGTGTGCGTGTGTGTGTGTGTGTGTGCGTGTGTGTGATGCTATCAGTTGGTCCTGGTGTTAGGTGACCTGCACATCCCCCACCGGTGCAACACCCTGCCAGCCAAGTTCAAGAAGCTGTTGGTCCCGGGGAAGATCCAGCACATTCTCTGCACAGGAAACCTCTGCACCAAGGAGAGCTATGACTACCTGAAAACCCTCGCTGGAGACGTCCACATAGTCCGAGGAGACTTTGACGAGGTCTGTATGTGTTTGTAGACAAGTTACACAGGGATCTGCTCGTCCTCAAAAATCCCTCAAAGCATTGAAATCAGATTCTTAAAGAAAGGCCTCAGGAGGTGTCAAGGTTTCTTTAATCAGAGTTAGGGATAAAGATTAATTCTGTCCCTTATAAAACAATTGAATGCAGAAGAGGCACTCAAGGGCAAGCAGCATGTATCATATGAATTGGGCTGACAGTGTGGGTGCGAAATGAATATTTTAGTAGCTGACTGCACGCAGGTCGGTGTGGAAAGTCTCTAAGTCAGCAGGAGACATGCTGCTGTTATTTTAGATTCAGTAAAAAATAAGAAAGGAAAAAGAGGGGGGATCTGAGGATAAGTACAAAGCTAAAAAGCCATAATTTATGCAGCTGAATATTTAATTGCAAGGGGGAAGGGAACGGATCTCTTGCAGGTACTAAAGACTAATTGCTGTGTAATGAAATTGTAATTACTCCCTCCTCGCAAACTGAGTTTTTGAACCACAGCTGATTTCACTGTTTGCTGCGTCATGTTAAACCTGTGCACAGGGGCTGCTGCTAACCATTATTTTTATTATTGATTACTGCTTATTATCGTTTCGTTAATCAATGATTCGCTTTGTTATTGAAATGTCAGAAAATAGTGAAAAATGCCCGTTATAGCTTCCCACACCCCACAGTGACATCTCATCTTCAGATGTCTTGTCCGACCAGCTGTCCAAAACCCAGAGATATTATGTTAATCAACTAATTGATCATTGCATTTCTACAGTGCACATCACAGTTTCCAGTTGTAGATGATTTAGAGCAAGTGTATTGTGAGTAACCCTCACTGTGCTTGTGTTTTTGCCCCTTTGTTTTCCCTCCTGCCCCCTCTCAGAACCTGAACTACCCGGAGCAGAAGGTGGTGACAGTTGGCCAGTTTAAGATCGGTCTCATCCACGGCCACCAGGTGATCCCCTGGGGCGACATGGCCAGCCTGGCGCTGCTCCAGAGACAGCTGGACGTCGACATCCTCATCTCCGGGCACACGCACAAGTTCGAGGCATTTGAGAACGAAAACAAGTTCTACATCAACCCTGGTTCTGCCACGGGAGCCTACAGCGCACTGGAAAGGTAGGAGGGCCAGATACACTGATGAAGCTCTGTTTGCTTTTTAAACAGGAGCTGCACAAATGCAGACTGCAGGCCCTCACACTCAGTCCTTGTGGTTATTATATGAGATCACAGTGTTGTTACACATACTTCCTTTTTCCATTCTAGGATGTAACTCATATCTAATACCAATATGAACTTATAAGGACATCAAAAACACAAAAAACATAATTTTGTGTTAAGTTCTTCATTATTTACCACCCTAGAACTCACCTGGTGATCCATTAGATTGATCTGTGGAGCTCTTGTCGGGCTCCTGACTAGGGCTGCAACTATTTTTCATAATTTCTTAATCTTCTGATTATTTTTCTTGACTAATCAATACATTCTTTGGCCTATATAACATCACAGTTCAAAACCCCAAATAATCAATTTACTGTAATATTAAGACAAGAAAAAAACAGCAATAGGAGAATGTACATATAGAAAACACAACAAAAACAGCAACAAATCGTTTATTATGACACTTCTTTGTATGTATGAGAATAAACAGAAGAAGACGGACAGTTGGTTCTTGAGGAAACTGATTTCCAGTGTGACGTCCAGTACAACAGGTGTAACTGTAGAACAGGCTGAGTATAATTACAGGCAGCCACAGGTCAGGGGGGCAGGAAAAGACCTGACCTAAAACACATCTGTCATCTCTCCTTACAGCAACATCATCCCCTCTTTTGTATTAATGGACATCCAGGCGTCCACGGTGGTGACGTACGTTTATCAGCTGATCGGCGACGACGTGAAGGTGGAGAGAATCGAGTACAAGAAATCTTAAGGGATGTGACGGGGAGGAAGAGGAGACAGAGTTGGGTTAACGTGGCTCAGTTTATCATTTCATTCCTTTCCACTGGGGAGGGGGGGAGAGCAGCAGCACCAGCAGCAGCAGCTCCCCCCCCCACTCCTGCCGTCACCACAATGTTAATCCTGTAACAAACTGCTGAGTAAGTTAACTCTAAAAGACCTGTGTATTATATTGTTTATATGTCATCAGCATTTGCTTGATTCCAAGCCTTCATTTGGTAACTGTAGAGAATGCAATAACGTCACGTGTTTGTTATCAAAAGAAATATTTGGTGCCATTTTCTGTTTGTTCTTCTTTTTTAAATTCTAACGCTCATGTCCTGTACATGTAATCAACAAGACTTTAGCTTCATTTAGTCAACGTTTCAGGCATTTTTTTTCCCACAATAAAGATCTTATTTCACTCCATCTGTTGTTCTGTCTTCAATTACAATCACAACAATAACACCCATGCTTACTTGCTGTTGTAGACAGTAACATTTTGTAGTACAGTCCATGATTTACAGTGTCATTTTGTTGGATGAATCAGGTACCACTGACTATCAGGTAGTTAAATGTAGTTACAGTGGAAGAAAATGGGGGAACAAGAGAAATAAATTATACTCCAAGTAGGAAAAAACTGGAGTTTGTGTGAAATGATGTTAACGAATCTAATATTTGATAACTGAGAACATTTCACAGTTACAATACACAACCAAAACTGCAGGGGCACAGTAAGGTAACTAAAGTGGCTTTGGAAAATCTACTGAAATTGAAGAACAGTAAAAGGATCTGGGTTCCTGAAGTTGACGGGCTGACTCAGCTCACCGGTGCTTAGATACAGCAGTGGAGACTGGAGGCAGGAAGCTCAAAGTAAAAGAGGGGAAATCAGAGAATAACGAGGGCCAGTCATTTATGTACAGCAATGTAATTACTTGTGAAAATTTAGAGCTCAGCTGATGTGTTATCAGTTCAAGGTGTTTAAAAAATATAAACCAAAAAAGGCAGTAAAAAAAAAACAAACTGAAATCTACTGGATTTCTTTTTTATTTGACACTGAAGCTGTTCATTAAAAACTACGTATTTAACTCGTGGCCCATTCAAAGAACTGATCATGTGAACACTTACGTTTAAGCAACGAAATGTGATCCCAATGTTAATCGTTCTTGGAAAGCAGTCAGTGAGCACGTGACTTCCCGGACATTAAGTCTTTAAAATAAAGTGTCGTCTCTCTGACACTGGAGGGCGCCAGAGCACAAAGGGACTTCTTGCAGGTTTGTCCTTGTTAACAACACTGCAAACTGAGCTGCTACTCTTGATCTTCAACTTGACATCTCACACAAACTGAACTTAATTTTTTTAATAGCTGAGTTTATTAAGGAATTACATCTACAGTTAACCTTCCAAACAAAAAGTACAGAGTTTGACAACACGAAAACCTTTTTCTGGAACTTAACACAAACACACATATATACACAAATGAAAATACTTGATAACATATATATAAAGGTTTGTTGGCCTTAACTGGATCTATGAAAGTAAGTTATAGATTATATGGACACGAAATCAGGGTTTAAATCTATGACTTAACACTTTTTAAACTCCACATAGAATGTAATTTAATAACAGCCTTTAAATGAAAGAAATCAATGGAAACGAGTAAAGATGATACGGCCTAGAATTATTCAAGTGCATGAGATTATTGACATTTATCACATTTGTCTCCTACTCAGCTGCTTTCTCAGCTAAGAATATCATTAAATAATCATTAAACCTGACCTAGACCTGAATAAGCAGCAGGAAACAAATGGATAAATGGAAGAATTAATCAATTAAAAAAAGCTCTACATATGAATTTAGACATCAGAGGTCTAGGACAATGATACTGGAGGTTTTCTAGTAAGTTTTTGCAAACAACACATACAAAAGCACCTATCATTACTGCCCAAGAATACCACAAAGAACCAGCTAAGACATTTGTAAATGAAATTTAAGAGTTTTCAAAACCTTTAAAAGACATTTTTTAAAGTAAACTGAAATCAAGACTTTTCCAGACCTACAGAGACCCTGAAAATGTCACTGTGATGATGTTTTAAATTTCCAAAAATGTCATAAGTCTGTGAAGGTGTTGTCATCCCATTCTCCCATGAAGAGTGAACTGAAGCATTCATGCAGGGAATCGTCCAGTCCTTCCTCCTCCTCCTCCTCCTCCTCCAACAGCCTGATCCCAGCTCCTACTAATACATGGTACAATAAGATAAATGTTCTGGATATAATGAACAAAATGACTCTATATTAGAAGCAGTGGTTTTAAAGAAAGCCCCAGATTTAGCTCAGCTGAGGAAGAAACTACAGTCCTGAACCTTTTTTTTTTTTTACTTACTTCTCGGACTTCTTCCTCTCAGTGTGGGAGATGTTGTACGTTTCTTCATCTTCTTGTGTTTTGATGCTGATGCTCTGGAAGGACTATATTATAATTACACATTAGATGTTAAATGTCTTATATTTTCATTTTATCGATAACTAGCTAATTTAACCCTTTTCAAAAAATAAAGCTCATTTAGGATGACGATTTTAAGATGTTTAAAAAAGCATTACTTGATAACTTGTGTCCCACCTGGCTTGTCTGTTTGATTTCCCAGGATGCCTTGCACTAGTATTTATCTTCCCCTTGTGTTTTGCCCTGGAGGAAACTTGTGTTTTTGATGATTGATGTTTTTCACTGTCATTCTCAGGTGAGGTCACAACAATGTTGTCTCTCTCAGGGTTGTAACCTTCAACCAGAGCCAAGATAAACATGGTGTTAAAAGTTCCTGTGAGGACGTGAAGCAGCACTGGACAGTTAAAATATCACCAAAGGGTTATTTGAAATGCATTGTCACAAGAAAAGTGTTTGAAGTTTTGATATCTGTTGGAAGATTTATTTGTGGTTTTAAGAATCAAAAACCATCTGTATAGTTTTTCATCTCCTGTCTCAGGCTTCTCTCTGCAGCTCCAGTCACAACAGGTCACTGAGTCAATCAGAAAAGAGGAGGCTCTGAGCCTCTCTTCTGATTGGCTGACTCTTTTCTGAGTGATCTAAAAAAATATAGCAGATTTCAGGTAAAACACTCAGAGAAACCAGATCCTGCAAGGTTGGATGGTTGGTTCAGGTGGGCGGGGCTTGGAGCATGGCTGAGAGCAGTGACTGCTTTGTTGTGACACCACAAAGTTCAGGAAGTCCTATGTAAAATATGTAGATAAAGGATTCAAGCCAAAAGTCAAAGCTGTCAGAAATGTGATTTGAAGGACAAATGCAGCTTGAATAAAACACATCAGTTTTTTTTCCCCCTACCTGCTCGTATACGTCTGTGCAGCACGTTCATGTAGTGTTGGGTGATGACGTTGCGCACGTGTGCAGTGCTGTGGGAAGCTGCGATGGAGTACAGATATTCCTTCTGAGCTGGTGTTAGTGCTGTGTGCTGAGCGACAAACAGAGGTCAGGTTTCACCGCTGATATCCACAATCAAGCTCAGACACAGACACAGTGTCTTTACAATACTGCGCTTCATTGGAGTTGTATTGTGTTGTATCCTTTCACCTGTTTCGCTCATAGGATTATACAGGCGTGGGGTTACAGTTCTAACATGAAGTCAAAGGTAAATAAACTTGTAGCATGATGACACGATGGTTTACCTTCAGGAACGGGGCTGCAGTCATGGCTTTAGGGATTTCTATCATTGTCACGTGTTGGAGTCGAGGTTCAGTTCTGCTGATTTTCAAACCGCTGTTGAAGTTTGCGCCGGCATCTTTTAAAGCTGTTACCAGAGAGAAAACAGACACTAAACTCAAACAACAGCCTGCTGTTATAGATACAATCAACAGTTAGCAGTATGACATTCCTTTGTGTCTTTCTATTCTGTTTGGTTAGTGTTTTTATTGATTTAGTGATTGTTTATTGAGCTGATTAAAAAAGTTGTAAACATGGGAATCTTTCCCATCATCACCTTCCCTGTTCCCTCCAACATGACGTGAATGCTTTCAAAGTTTCAGTCAGTTCACTAGTTAATTAAAAAGTTATTTTCCAGTCTAAGACAATCATCTTTGGCTGGTGAAGTGTTACGTGTATTCTGTTACACCTGAGCCAAAACCGTAGTCGGTATGTCGGCTTTGTTAAACCATCAAACCAAAGAGCTTCTAATTAAGAGCGGCATGAGTCACTTTTCCTTCTGTAACTTATCAGGCGTGACTCAGGTCAGGTTCAGGTGTAGGATTTCCCCTATTTCAACTGATAACCTCACACCACTGTGCCCTCAATACAAACCCTGGCTCTCAGGTTTCCAAGCAGACAGGATACTAGGACATGTTTTGTTCATTAAACAAGGAAATAGTGCATGTACATCTGAAATCTGAACTGAGGACAGACAGTGAAATAGGCAGAATACAGTGGATTCAGTATGCTGAATAAAAAGTTGAAATGGCGCAGTCACTATTTGGGTTTCCTATATTTCTGCTTACATTTTTCTTCTGTGCTGAGTTGTTTATTTTGAATAAAAATGTTCACTGTAGGATTTTCACTCACCCAATTTCGACTCATTCATCCCAACACTCCTGCAACAGAGAGAGAGAGAGCGCAACATTAAAGTGACATTAACGCAAACTCACGTGTCAAAAAATATAAATAGCAGAGAATAGTTTTTGTGCACATACAGTGGAATTCAATCATTACTTTACCTTTGCAAAGCCTCGTCTTGATGGAGCCTGTGGACCGTCCGATTCTCCCTAAATGTCACTTGTTTTTTCATGATGGGAAGATGCACAAAGACTCAAATTATCCTTCGCACAAGCAGCAGTTTACAGACACATCGGTCCAGATGATTAAAGTAAAGAGGTTGTCTGGTCTTACTGAGGACCTTAAAGGCCAGTGGGAGTGTCCTCTCCCGTGAAGCTGCAGCTAGTTCACTGTAACACAAGAAAGGAAACTTTGAAGATATATTTAATCATGCACTAAAAAAAACATGGCTTCAACGCTCAACAAGACTTTTATTCAGAGTTTGAATGGTCTCATTTGCAGGTTCTTTTAGTTGCTCCGGTGTCAAATGCAAATCAGGTGAACTGAGGGTTTTGAATTGTGTTTAATGAATAAACGGTCATACATCTGTGCAAATATACCCTCGTCCCTGAACAGGAAAAGCAGGTATGTAAAATAAATTAAACTAATGAGTGAGTTATTTAGTTACCTGTAAATGTTTGGTTGCATGAAATCCACTTTTCTATAAATGCAATTTAAAAACAGAATTATGAAGCCAGACAAAAATGTACTTTATCTTTTAGTTTAAATGTTAGCTAGTTTTAGACATTACTTCTAAAATCATATTATGGTAGCCACAATGCGTAAGTAAAAAAAAGAATATACTTAAGAACTATCTATAGCTAGTTATAGCAATATTACTTTCACTATAGACAAAAGATAAAGTACGTTGATATAAAATCCTGCACATGCATTTTTAATTTTTATGTCTGGCGTTTGTAACAAACCGAACTGCTGCAAAATTGTATGACAATTCAGTGTGACAATTATGATTTAATTCTGGATACATGCCCTGTCTTAACAGACATACACACATTATGAGGTGTTGATGCAATGACTTTTTTACCCCACTGTAGATAGACAGATAGATAGATAGATAGATAGATAGATAGATAGATAGATAGATAGATAGATAGATATTTGGTGCTTGATGACTCAGCTCCTGATTGGACAAACAACAGTCAGACAAAACTCTGGCCTGTTTGAAAACACTTAAACAAAAACGACACTCTTTTTACGACCCAGCAACTCATCTGAAAGTATCAGCCAAGTGGTTCGTTTGAATTTGGGCTCCACCCACTGATGTTTTGCTCAACCAGTCAGACGTAGTCTGCCTCAGGTTGCATCATAAACAAATTGTGACATTACTACCGTGTCCGTTTGTTGGGATTTAGGGGAATATCCGACTGTCCTGTAACTGTTGGATAATGAATATCTGAGGCTGTCTCTTACTTTCAGACAGAGTGGGGGAATATCCCCGACCACTGAATTGTTCTTCTGGGGAAATTTAAGTGGAATACCCGCAGGATTGGACACGACCACACAAACTGCAGATGTGCAGAGATTCATTCATCAAACACACACTGTAAAAAATAAAAAATAAAAATCAACATTATATACAGTATGTTGAGGAAAATAATACACCTGATTAATAATTCTGTCTTATCTTGAATGATAGAGTAAACGATCTAAACACAATAAATATGGAGTTGAAAATAAAATACAGTCTTTCATTTTCCTAACCATTAGCCAGCAACAGCAGTGAAAAGGTTAGTCCTGTACTTGCCCCACAGTGGGGGAAATTGCAATGCATGAAAACAAGTGTAAGTGTTTCCATTTGCAAATACCTCTACCTATGACTCAGTAACATTGCAATGATAATACACACATAGCTGCAGGTGCATGGTAAATAATGACACCCACTCACTAGCCTGCTCTTTTGTTCTTTCAGGTTGGCAGCAAAAGAAGAAAGTCATCCATGCACAATGGGCATAAAAGCAAAACATAAATAATACTTTGACGCTATGGCTGTTGTTCTGATGTTAGTTTTGGTGCGTACAAAAAAAGATTGCATTGTCTGTGTTCTTTCAGTGCCCCATTTTTGAAACCTTAATCTAAACAGGAAGTTTCTGTTCTCTAATAGAAACACCTCCACTTCTTTTTACCCTAAAGTCACAACACAAGGGCAACAAGCTGTGAACACCTCAATGACATATAAAGTCATTCTGACAGTTGTATGCAGCAGAAACAGGCTAACCCTAATTGCTCCACTATGTTCAAAAAACATTTAATCTATATGACCAAGCAAAGTAAAAATGACTAAATGTGTGCAAACTTAATGTAAAAGCAGCTGAAAGTTGCATAGTCATCAAATCAGTTTCATTTAAACTGCAGTAACAGGGAAGACAATAAAGACAAAAGGCCTGTAAAAGGCTTCATGGAGCATGTTTGTGTTTTTTATAATTAAAAAAAGCATAATTTTACAAAAACGATTGTTTGTGTTTTGTGTGTTTTTATGTCCAATATATTGATAAAGCATGTCAAAATAAAACACAATCGTTAGGTCATATAGATGATGTTTTGGTGAAAAAAAAAAGATACCAAACACTGGCATGGTACATGTTTTAATGTGGTATAAAAAGCCTTTCTATAAGTTGTGCTCCGGAGTTGTTTTTTTTTAATGATGCTGCACTGAAAACAAGTTTCACCCACTCTGCTCACGTTGCCTTAAAAGTGAAGTGAAAGTGAAGTTAAAGGAACATTTCCATATTTCTGAGCTAAAGCGCTAATAAATATTACAGTTTGTATATCTATATTTACATCAGCACTTTCAATTATTATTATCCTTAGCTGTAGTAGTGATAATATTTATCCCTGCACATGATGTAACACTTTTCTCTTCTCCAGTGGGACTATAGTGGAAAACGAAAGTACTGAGTGATGATGATGTTACAGGAAATCCCCATTATCTGCCTTTTATAGAAGCTCACACTGCTGACTCAGATAACTCGCACACGACTGTGAGAGGGAGCGTGTAAACATCTGATGCACTGCAACATTCAACCTTCAAAACTAGATATGAAGAACCTTTTCAAAGGAAGAAACAAGGTTCAGAGGAACGAGAGCAGGACTCCTTTAATGAAGGAAAACAACAACAACGTGGAAGATGGTAAATGTCTGTTCTTATCATGGCTGTGATTTGTGGTTTGTATGTGTGTAGATCTGTATCGTAACACAGCTTGAAATTAGGCTTTTGAACCATCAGTCCATGTAGGTTAAATATAGTATTTTCTTTATCTGTGTTTATGTGTGTGTGTGTGTGTGTGTGTATGTGTGTGTATGTGTGTGTGTGTGTGTGTGTGTGCACAGACAGTCTTTTACCTCTGTCTCGCTCCTCTAAAACCCTGAAGCATGTTGAGAAATGAGAGTTTAAAACAAACAGATAAGCAGCAGATGTGGAGGAAAACTGTGACAGTGCAGTCCGAACTCAGACCAGATCAAACTGGTGATAAACGCCAGGGATGCAAGGGGATTCCCACGTACAGCACCTCTTTTTTTCCCCTCAGAAATGTTGTCCAGCAACATATTGTGCTGTTGTGCTTGAAGAAGAAGCAAGTTGTAATTTTTCCGTTCTTGTTGAGCCTGTAATGTGTAAAGTTAATTTATTTCAAGCCATCACACCTGCAGAAACCGGTTATTCTGCTTCGATGTGACTGAATGGAAAACCTTATTTGAAAAGGAGTAAAGGAGTCAAAGGATCAGCCAAGTAATAACACTTTGTATGGACAGGAAAAACACTTTTAGTTTTAGACCCATAAGCAGAAACTGAATGTAAAATTAATTAGATTTAATAACAAAATGGAGTTTAAAACAAAGGGGAAGGTTTGGGGAATCGGGGCTGGCGTGGGAGAAAAGGTTACGATGAACTGGGACAGGAAGGTTTGTGGTGTGGCAGGGAGCGGCATGGTGAAGCTGATACAGGAACCTGAAGTAGGAGAGGGAACTGAGATCCATATGAAGATAATGGCTGATGAATGTGGAGTGATGGGTGAGGCAAGCAGCTGGGCAGCAGAGGAATTCCCAAAGAAGAATCAATACTAGAAAATACTTCAAGTACAAGAAATTGTCCAAGCGCTTGTTACCACAGAGATTGCAGAACATTCTGGCAATGGGTGGAGACCAGAAGACCAGAGTATCTGTATTGTGGCTGTTGAGATAATACAATAATTAAATGCAGGTGTGGGGTAATCGCCAAGGGCAGGTAGAGAAAGCCACGCCCACAGCACCTACACACACACACACACACACACACACACACACACACACAAACCAGGGGGGTGGAGACACACAAGGGAATGCAGGTAGTAAAAACAGTAAGTAGTCGTCTGATGGAGCAAACTGTGGCAGCAAAGTCCTCATGATTCATGTCTGGCCACAACATTAGCTTGATTTAAAAATATTTCTCTCATTTCAAGATCAATACAAGAAGTCATAAAGACTGAGTCTGCAAAAACCGACGTGCATTTATAATTTCTTTAGTATTTCATATTTGTAGTGCCCTAAACATCTTAAAATCTCCCTCTCTCGTAGGATATAACCAGGCAGATGACACCTTGGCTCGGTACACCTCGAACACCCAGAGGGAGCAGGAGTTCACATATCAGGAACTCGCTGAGTTTCTGAGTGTGGACCTCCCCGACACCTTTGAGGATGGCTGCTGGTGCAAAGTTCAGCCTGGACAGCACAACCTGAACCTGAACATCATCCGCCTCATACAGAAATCTGTGCTCAAGCATTTTCCAAAGCCACCGTCACATCTGGACGAGAACCTTCCCCAGCACCTGCTGCATGTGCAGGGCACCGTGCTGCATGAGCTTATGAGGCTGGGTCCCCAGTTGAAGCGTATGGGGTGGATGGGATATCTGATTGATTGCTACCATCATCAGACATTTGAGCACCTGCATATTCTGCTGCAGAACGCCACCACCGCCAAGAACACCTTTGTGCTGATGAATTGGGTCCAACGTGTCTACCTGAGGTATCTGCCAACCTATACCTGCATTTTCACCTACTGCAACCTTATTTATTGAGTGTGTTTTCATGCACTTCAAACTCCGATAGTTCAGGGTTGACATTTTGCTAAATACTCTTATTCACCTCATACAAGAAAACTGATATCACTCAGTTCTCTTTACAATAAATATTAAGCTCCCCCCAGCAACTGTTAGCATAGCTTAGCATAAAGACTGCTATCCCAGCTCTCTTTAACTCAACCCTAACTCTAATAAAAAATCTACCTACCAGCCCCTTTAACTCATATCTTATTTGTTTGAGCCATTAAAAAAAACCAAAAGTATTGTTTTTACACTTTGGTTGTTTGGATTAAACAAACACAAAATATAATTAATGAGCTTAAGAGGTGCTCTTAAGTAGAATTGTTTCCTTTGAACAGAGCCAGGCTAGCTGCTTCCAGTGTTTGTGCTAATCATCTGTTAGCTGTAGGTTCACATTTAGGGGAAAAATATGAGCATCAATCGTCTCATGTAACGTCTTCTCAGAACTGGTTTCTAAGATGTCCAACAACACTGGAAATCAAAAGTGTTTAGAGTTTTTCAGAAAATCTTTAGTTTACCACAAAGACTCAAAACAAGAAAACTAGCTTAGCTAATTATTTATTCAGTATTTCTGAACAGTAGAATATTAGATAGAGATGTGAGACACGCTGCTGATGGTGTTTGTATTTGTGGTACTTTCCCAGTAAAGAGCTGCTCGGTCATCCTGACCTTCAAGAAATTGATCCCACTGGAAAAGTCGATGTAATGTTCTTCAAGGAATGGGACGCAAAAGCAAAGGACAAGCTGCTTGAGAATGTGCAGGTAAGAATACAAACTCTTCCAGTGTTGGGATTGCTTCATGCTTCATGAGTCATGAGGAAATGCATGCAAGGGAGAGTGCAAGGTTGAAGTAAAAGACATACGTGTTTATTGTTTCCTTTATCTTGGTGATGATGTTTCTTTCTCTTGTGAAATTAGCAGTTTCCTTGAGGCTTCCAGTGTCAAGTCCCAGACCTGATGTACGTCTGTTAGAAATGCAGCTTATTTTGTATTTATTTCTATTTTGTCCACAGAAATCTGTCGAAGGGTCCCTGAAGATCATTCTGCAGAATGAGATGGCCCAAGATCAATGTGATTGTGAGGAAACTTACATTGGACTCTCTTTGGACATTATTCAGGTACTTGGTACACCAGAAGTTATGTGATTGACCCTGGAGAAGATTTTTTGCTTGCTGTCCTGTTATGATAGATTATTTTAGTAACCGGGTATCTGCCTTTCTTTGTTTGTCTCTATTTAAGTGCATTGATGCCATGCACAATGAAGCGAAGAAGATCTCTTCAGAACTGCCTGATAGTGTGAAGGAGGTTTGTTTCCAAGAGCTGCTGATGTTTCTGAAGAGGTGAGCGTCTGTTTTTACCTCAGGAATACAATATTTATTGACAGAGATTCCCAAACCAGACTCTATATTAAAAAAATACCATTGATTTTGCCCTTGTAATGAAATCAACATAAATATCACCAATTAAACTCAGCATGTTTCATTATTTGGTCTGCATATTCTCTTTGGTTTTGAAGGTACGTCGCTGAGCAGACTGAGGCTCTGGGGGAAAAAGCAAAAATGGACAAACCAGAAACAATACATTTCCTCAGGACTTTGAAAACTTGTAAAGAACTCAAGTGAGTATTTGGGCATTTTTGTCTTTTGGACAATTATTAATTCACTTCAATTCAAATTTGTAATTGTGTCTTAGCACATTTTATCTGCAAACAAGGTTTAAAAGTTTTATTTCCCCTCAGGCAGTACGTCCAGACTGAGGGCGCAGGGATCAAAACTTCCCTTCTGAATGACATGGTGAGACTGCTTGAAAACATGGAGGCCTCTACTTTTAATCTTCTGATTGACATTGTAACCGACATCGCAGAGGTAGCTGTTCAACTTAATCACAAATATACAGTTTTCCTAAATTCCTAAACGGGAGAGCGGTACATTACATGTATATATTCCTCTGTTTCTGTCCCGCAGAGCCACCTGAAAAAGTATTTCAAATCCCATAACAAGCGGTTCCTCCTGTGTGCTGCTGTACAGAAGAATTTCCCCAAGCTGCAGTATGGTTTGGATGAACAAAAGGTGAGGATATACCACCGCTGTCAAATGTGCTAAATGTAATCTGTAAATAACTGTGTAATAAAAGTGTATTAATTTGCCGCCCTTTTCCATATATTTGTCTCTTTGTGTCTCTCAGAGAGTGATGGACGAGGCTTACAAGCTCATCGTTCGTATTTACATCAAACATCTTGTCCGAAGCAGCCAGAGCAAACTGAAGAAGCGCTGGAGTCCTAATGTTGGACAAACGGTCATTGAAGATGCTGAGCTTCTTCACAGCATCATGTCAGACCTGGTGAGATTACTTACTGAAAAGAGACTGCTTGTTCTCACGCACTGTAAATGACATTTACCCATTAGAAATTAACCGACCTGTATGTGTTGTGATGTGTTGTGTCAGGCTCCTGGTGTCCAACAGTGGAACCTCACGCTGCTGAAAATAGCAGAAATATTGGAGTGCAACAGCGTCGACACACTGAAGATAGAATGTGCAGCCATGCAGAATCACTGTCTCACCATGAGGTAAACTATACTGATGACACATGCTTATTTTACACACCAGTGTCCAATTTCTCCAGTGTTGTTTTGGCTGCATTTACATGCAAAAACCACCGAATCACAGATTGTAGAGAAATCCTGTTTTAGCTTATGTGACGTTAAGTTTCTGAGGAAGCATTTTGAGTTGATCTCTTGAGTACAGTTATGTTGTTTGGTTAGGATTAAAGTAATTTAGATTGTTAAATGTCAATGTGATTTATTTTTTTTTCGGTTGACTTGTATTTCCTCTGGTTAAGGGTTTTCCTGTTGGATTATCTTAAAGTCGCCATCCGGTGGTCATTAGAGGAACTGCATCTCAGTAACTTACCTCTCTTTTGTCCTCACCTGCAGCGAGGATATGGAGCTCCTGCCCGCCGTGCTGCGATGGAAGGGTGTTTCTAATTGGAAGCTCAACGAGGTGCTGTACGCCCTTCCTCCTGACCTTCAACCCAGACCTGATCCTGACCGTCAACCCAGTCGTACCAGATCCTGGTTCTGCTGTTTTAACTGACTTGGCTTCTGGTGACGACTGAGGCGCTCCACAGAGGATCAACCGAAACAAGCTTGAGAGATTAAGATTGTGCACACAGTTGCCTATCCATGAGAGTGTCTCTGATTTTGTTTCAAGTGTTGCTGTAGTTTCAGGAAAGGTAAACATGGTTTTTGATCTTGTTTGCCAAAATTTCCTCATTTTTTTTTTATTTATGTAAATAGAAATCATCATATACTGTATTTGAGATTTTGCATAATCGCAATTTCTTCCTCATTCATTCTCGCTTTGTAATGCACAGAAAGTTTACTAAGTTACAGGTCAGAAAAAACTGAATGAAGAAAAGTATATAGAAGTTGTTAAAGTTGTTTACATGTTTAAGTTTTTTTTATTTTTTATCTTTAGGTGGGATCTTGGTTGTGGGAAAATTTACATGACGTTTCTGAATGTTTGAACACCGTTTACAGTAAATTTAGATTTTGTGGAAAAGGCCAATAGTGATGATTCAGCTGAACTTCAATGTTACGTGGTTTGGAAAAGGAAAGTCATTTGTCGAGCTGAGTAGTGAAAAGAGCAAACGAACAAACTATTTAAAAGAGATTGTTAATTTAACTTATTTGTTACGTTTCTTTTTTTGAGCCAAAACCCTCAAATGCATTTTTTCCTTTTGTTTCATTTTACGTTACATGTGTTCATTTATTGTAGGTACAAAAATTGAAAGTTAAAGAATGTCAACATAGAGGTAGTGATTTAATTGCACTTTTTCATTAAGAGCTTCCACAAGAAGAGTAATCATGTTCTCATATTATTATATAATATTATTTATTATGTTTTGATTATTTATTTATATGAATGTACAATTTTTGTATTTACATAACTGACAAGAATTCACTAGGCTTCAATCAGTCATTAAAATCTAATTTTACTGTTAAAAAAAAACAATTCTTAGGAAACTCTTCTGAATTACACTTGAGCTGTTCTTTTAAAACTTTATTTTTTTATAAGATTTACTGTATAATTTACTATTGTACTGTAATTCTTTTGAAATTCTGAGCAGATATCTGCTTCAAAATCAGATGAAGAGCTGTGTTTACTTTTGAATACATAGTGTCCCTTTTGTATGAGGTGTACTGTGCTGGTTTATGGGTTTGAATTTGTTAACCTGTGATGAGAAGGGCTGTGAAAATGTGCCTGTCTTACTCTGTCAACAGTTTCATTAATAAAATTCTGTATTATTTACCACAAATGTTTTTGGCTGTGTATTCTTTGTGCCACCAGTGAACACCACTAGATGGAGCCTCACATCATCTAACTATAATGGGACTTGATGAGTAATGGTCCACATCGTTTTAGGGAGTGTTTCACAAAACAGATCCCAGAACAGTGGTTGCTGATCTGGGGTTTGGGACCATAAAAAATAAAATCTGAGGCTTCTCAAGGTGATTAAAGGAGATGGATTTCATACTTTTGTTACAATGTTCTGTAAAGATGTTTCTGTCTTGTGAAAGATCTGGATGTTTTTACCACTTTCAGACCTGAAAGAATCTTTAAATTAAGCTGCTCACAACTCATGACACACTAAAACCACATGTGACCTGTGATGAGAACTCACATCAATAAAATACAATTTATTCTAAAGGGTCACAAGCTATAACACACTGTGAACCGCTTCCTAATAGATTAGTATCTTACTGCATAAATTAGGCAAAGCAAAAAAAAAAGTTAATCTCATGGTGGCGGAAGAGGAAAAGTCAGAGTACCGCTGGAGGTCAGTAGGATTCAGCCTCTGGGGACCATGAACGTGATCATTGATCAAATTTCACGGAGAGCAATCCAATAATTGTCAAAACATTTTAGCCAAAACAAAAAATGCCAACCTCATGGTGGTGCTAGAGGAAAAGTCAGAGGATCACTAAAAGAAAGTAGGATTCAACCTCTGGGGACCATGAATGTCTGAACAAAATGTCACAGCGATTTATCTAAAAGTTGCAGGGATATTTCAGTCTGGACTAATGTGGTGGAAAGACATTACCATTCACAGTCACAGCGCTGCAACAAAGAATAGTTTCATTTCATTTCATCCACATGCATTACTAAAAACTGACAGTGAAGTTAAAATGTTTCAATAAATAATGAACATGCCAGCCTGATGACTTCCATGCAGTGACTCAGACACACTTTGGCAGTGGTCCTGTCCACAGCAGGAAAGCACCGTCGATTTCCACCGTGCGGCTTCCTGTTAACAGGCCAGCCTGATATTACGAGTAGCTTATCATCAGTGGCTTTAATGACTCTCACTCCCGCACGCTCTCCAAAGAGGAACTTGTAGCTGTGGCCTCTGTCTTCCCGAGCACATCCTTCCTCTTACACCAATATACAAACACAGACAGACTTTCAGGAAAGAAACCACATGCCGGCAGCTGCTTGCAGTAACTCCCTCTGTAGATTTACATCCTTCCCGTAACATCAAGAATGCCATTAGCCACAGTTCATTTAAGAATAAAGAACTTGAAACACCTCGGCCCGGTGTGTACAGGTTCTGTTCCCTGATGGGAATAATTATTTCCCAGAATTGTTCAAGGCTGATTTCACTGCTTGTTATGTGTGTGAGTTAAGTCGGAAAGGAGGAACTTCAGATCAGTGGTTTTAAGACTCTCCTGATGCAGCAGGACAGTGATGAAGAACTGGAGTCTTTACAGGCCCTGACCTCTGACCTGTGCCTGTGGAAATGTGTCATCAAAAAGCTTCTTGTTGTTTTTGGCTGCTCTCGCGACATGAATCCAAAGTCACCCGTCCACCACTTTTTCCTCTACTGCCACCAGCGGGTCAAACGTGTCCCTCACCCTTCCCTTACCCTGTGAAGTATCTCAACATCTACTCTGTTGACTGGCACATCACTTTTCAGGGACATTCATGGTTCCCAGAGGATGAATCCTGCACCGCTGACTTTTCCTCTAGCACCACTGTGAAGTTAACATTTGTGGTTTTGAGTGAAATGTCTCAACAACTGTTCAACAGATTGCAAGTTTGGTACACACATTCACGTTCCCCTGAGCATGAATCCCAATTGATTTTCATGTCGTTCCATCATTAACCCAAAACTGTAATATGTCTGCAATTTTGGTTTATGACCAAATACCTGAAAAGCTAAAGACAATCCCATTAGCTTCGGCTAGTTCTGCTAGTCAGCAAATATTAGCTCCAAGCACCACTGTAGCTAAGAGATGCTAGCTTGGCTGGAGATTTAAACACACAACAGCTGTATTGAAAATCACTGTCTAAACAAACTGAGGTTTCACCAAATTTATTTATAAATTTAATTTACATTAACATTCTGTTCATCAGATGAAAAAACATGTAAAAATATAAAGCTTGTTGTCTCCCTTATTGTACACGCATGGCAAAAAATACATAATACATAACAAATTTTAACATTGATTTGATATTAAAAAAATATAAACTATTAGAGGAATACACTTGCAATTACTGACCCTGTCCTTTTTTTTCCTAAAACACAAAAACAAACACACACTCACGCCAACCTAACCAGATTTTTCTTGCAGTGAAAAGGACCATATTAACCGGCACTAAGTTGAACTGTAGCTTATACATTCATACAGTAGCTACAACACTTGATCCAAGCTTATTGTACATTATATTTATGTTAGACGTAACATAAATCTGCCAAACACAGACATTACACTGTACAACCCAACTCTCAGCCGGCATTAAGACGACTGAAATAAGGAGAACTGGATGAGAGCGTCATCCAACCGTGCGGCTCATTTAACCTGCACTTTGGAGAAAAACGGCCGAGCGCCAACGGCGGCCGTTTCTCTCAGAGTGTCCGACAGAGTCGCTTTGACGGTTTTCCTGTCGGCTCTGGAGAAGTTTGTCTTGAGCTTGAGCAGAGCCGAAACATGTCTCTCACTGTCGGGGAAGGAAAAGAAAGAAAACTTTAAAATCAACATTCTGATCCTGTGCAGCATTAAGTTAATTAGTACAGGATTCTTATAACGATCCAATCAATTATGTTGGATAAAGCATAACTTTTCTGTTCTTCTCTACAACAATTATTTAATAGACGGTTGACATTTGGGGAAATACACTATACAGATGGTTAGCTTAGCTTAGCATAGAGACTGGAAACAGGGGGAAACAGCTAGCCTGGCTCTGTCTAAAGGAAACAAAATCAAAACAAAACTTCTAAAGCTAAGTAATTAACATGCTATATTTGATTTGTCTAATCTTACAGAAACATAAAAAGGATGGTTTGTTTTAACAATACCAGTGAGCTTAAGAAGTGCTGTACACACTCTCATATCAGTGTAAAGATAAGAGCCGTACTTTTATCATTGAACTCTTGGCAAGAAGGCAGAAAAGCATTCAAACCAAAGTATTTGCATGTGTTACAACTCTGACTCAAAGAACAGAGACTAGGACTTCAGACAAGACGGATTACTGTGTCACTGTAAACATTTCAAAACAACTCGACCTCAACAGACTGTTTACTCTGACACGCCACACAAAAGCTCCACCAGGTACTCCTCTGTTTCAAGACTATTTTTTTTTATCTGCAGTGCTTAGCTAGCTGCTGTTACTGACACTGATAACAGGGCCACTTTTTCTTGGCAGATCCACTGAGTTGTAGCTCATAATATCATCCTGCGGCCGGAAACATCTGAACACATCAGACGTTTTGGCCCCTTCTCATTTCCTGCTGCATTTCAGCTCTCCCTGAAAAGTGGGTTTGTTTATCCTCACCCTGCTGTCATGTAAACTACTCACATCATGATGCTATTCTGGCCTATTAAAGCCTGTTACACTTGAGACCACTGCACATGCATGTGAAGTATGCTGTTTTGTATAAATATATATATATATATATATATATTTCTGTTTGTGCTGTGTTAAAGATTGAAAACACAGAGTGAAAATGTTACCTCAGGTCAGGAAAAGCACTTCCCAGTGATGCCACTTGCATCTGTATGGCAGGGAGGTCTTGGAGTTTCAGCACTTCTGCAATCTTGGTCAGGATTTCCTTCAACCACTCCTCCTTTGAACCCTGTGGGAATGGAGTAGTTTCGTCAGTCTCGATCCCTCTCGTGTTAGGGAGATTTTTATCTTGAGTGGTTTGAGAATTTTTACTGTGGATTTTCCCTGGTATCACTTATTAGTCACTCTCTGTGGTCACTTCACTGAAGCTTTTGTATTACTGATACAGATAGCATGCTATCTGCATTCCCTATGCCCCTGAAAACCTTGCTGATACATTTTAATTTTGGAGTTACAAAATATTGTTTTATGTTCTTCCAACAAAACTCTCACCAGGACCTTGAGCCCTTGGCCTTATTCTGGCTTCTCTCCAAGCCTGATTCTCTCTCCTGTTTCCACTCGACATGGAAAGTCAAGTAGTTTTTGGCATTTTGTATTCTATTGTTTAATCCTGTGACATTATTTCCTATATTTGATGCTTAAACCAAAAACTAGCAGTCTCAGTATCAGATGTTCCTGTGCTCCTGTGACCACATCAATACAATGAATACGATGAAGTCTCACCATTCTGATGAATAAATTGTGCAAACGCTCTGCGTTGTCTGTCACGGTCATGTAGGCCTTCTCCTGCCGTTCCTTGTCCTTCAGCTTGACGTCTCCTTTCAGGAGCCTCTTCACATATTCCACTGTCACGTCCTGATGAAACTGGCCGATCAGCTCCTGAAATGAATCCAATCATCAAATCAGAAACCACACTGCGCTTTAGAGTTTTGAATGTATTTTCCTTAAAATACAGGCAGCCATTGGTCTCCATTAATTGTACAATATGAAAACCATTTTACAGACTCTTGAAAATTTGGACTTTTCAGATCAGTGACCTCATAATCTGTATTACCATGCAGTGTGAAAATCTGACTTAAATATCGCAGACTTGCTGATCATTTTAATGGATTATGTCCACTGACTGTCACACTGGATGGAGATGAATGAAAACAATTTGCTCTTTGGTGCTTTTTTACCTGGTGACAGGATTCTTTTGACCCCTGAAGGTTTTCGATCTGATCTTGAATGCGGATCAGCAGCTTCTCAAACAGGGGCTTGTTCAGCCATTCGCTGGTTCCCAGCTTGAGGTACTCTGGCTGAGGTAGAAACACAAGGCATTAGACAGTTCACTCCACAGAGTAGCACAGAGTTTGCAGTAAACATAGCATTGCTTACATGTCAAATAAAAAAACCTGGGTTATTCTAATAAATTCAGTGGAACATCCTGAGTATTAAACCTGTGAGGATCTATATTTGTATGTTAATACAACTCAGATTTCTGTGTTTATATAATAATAATCCATGCCAAATGCCTTTATTGTGAAGAAATTTGTAACCTTTATTTTGAAAAACGCCATATAAATAACTTGATTCAACTACAATTACGCCACCAAGATGACTTGGTGTACATGACTCCCACAAAAGAAAGCAGTGGTCATGTTTGAGATAAGAGTGAGGAAAAATATGTCTAGTCTGTTGATTGAGTCTGACTTCCTGATTATGCAGAAACTTTTTGTTTGTTGCAGTTAAATGATGAGGCTTCTATAAAATGCCAAAAATGGTTTCTACTGAAGATTTTTATCTTGATAGTTTCCTTTAAGAAAAACCCCAAGAGTTACATATAACAGCTGGACTGTGTAGTTTTGCATCAGGCTTTGGATACACACATTGCAATAGTCCCTTGGTCATTGCTGGTTTGGGTCTTTTCATGGGATTTGTTGAAAACAAGAAAAAAAAAGTCTTTATATCTCTTGTAAACAAACTTACCTTGAGGTCCTTGTGCACAGGGTTTAATAAATATGCGTGGGCAGATTCTTTCATGTCAGTCAGAACATGCAAACAGTTTTGCCGCACATCCTCCAGGAACAGATGGCCGTTCTTACTGAGGACTTCCCTGCAGATAAACCACAGAATCCACATCAGCTCACAGTGAAATACTCTGATGTTACATTGATCAGATCTTAATACGACCGAACTTCAGTCTAATGTCAGAACCGTACCTGAACTCTTCGACACAGCCGAGGTTCGCCTTGATGATGGCTTTGCTGTTGGGTTTGTTTTGCTTCATGACCTCGTCCTGGAAGATCTTGAAGCTGCAGGAGTTTGTGTTTGAATGAGAACTGTTGATTTTCATCTCCACAGTGTTTTTTTATTGCGTAAAGTGTAAAAACAGAAATGGATTTTCAAAATGAGACTAAGAAACCGATCAGTGTTTCTTACCTCTGCATTAAACTGTTCAGTTTGCACGTTATGGTCTGGGCCTTGTACAGATCTCCCACCACTTTCTCAGCAGAAGTCACCATACCGTTGATAAGCTAAAGAGAGATGGAGGACACAAGTCAATAACAGCATTTAAAACTCACTGTAGACTACTGAGAGAAAGCAAGTCATTCATTCATTTCGACCTCTTTCACATTGTTGTGATGCATTATTATAAAATATTGATTATAGCCTCTTTTTACATCATGTTGTCGTATTGATACTGTACCTGAATGATGTCGTAGGCCACAGGACTGACGTAGCAGCCGTCCTCTTTCGTCGGCTCCTCTCCGTTATTCCACATTTGCTTTGCTTCCTCCAGGACACGGCTGATGTACGTCATCAGCTCACTCTGAATTCAAAACAACATGCTGCTGTCACTTATATAGTCTTCAATACATAGTTCAAGTTTTAGCTAAAAACATCTCCAATTCTACCTTTAGAAAACTACACAAAACTCAAAGAATGGCACTGGAGACCCTTTAGATTTCTTGTTTACAACTGAATGTGGCCTGATGATGGTGCTTCAGATTTGAAACATTAGGAGTCATCCACTGGGGACCATGAATATCATAGTTGTTGAGGTGTCTCAATCTAAACAAAAGTGTTGGACACACTGAAACTAAACCTGAAACTCAATAAAAATAAACCAAAATCAGGTAAAGGTGAGCTCTGGTTACCTGTTGTTTGTTCAGGTACTGTTCCTCCAGAGGCTCCAGTAGCTCATTCGGCAGCAGCTTTCCCAGCGCTTCGTTATTTATGTCACTTGCCAACTCCCGCTTTTGAAGCAGTCTGACACCAGAAGACGAGAAATCATAACTTTTACTAACACAGTATTACATATTAAGAAAACAAAATTCAATTTCACTCAATCTGTGCTGTCAGCTGTGTGAGTTACTGTGTCCATCAACCAGCCTCAGTGTAAAGCAGGGCTTCCTCATTCATTTCACTGATTTCATATAATAAAATAATGACAAAACAGATTCAGATTTCAGAATAATTGTCTTCACCAGACAGTAAAGACGAGAAAAAGTCTAATTCAGCCCTGTTATTGTTGATCTCTTAAGCTGAGGTTTCCATCGTGTTTGGGTTGTAACCCCTTCAAACAAATGTCTATGTCTACAAAATGTGGCTAGTTTGACCAAGAAGTAATTTTCTTTTCTTAATTTGAATAAGAAAGTCATGAAGAAGTAAAATAAGAACAAGAAGAAAAGCAAAGATTAGCGGAAAAGTCTGTAATAATAAACATAGCTTTGTTCCCTTAAAACTGACATGTTAATTCCACTGAATAAAATGAAAGCAATAAACAGAATGGACAGATCTCTGGAGACCATGAATATCCCCAACAAATTCATGCAACAAAACCCAACACTTTGGTATCACGGACCAAAGTCTAGTAGGAAAACAACATGGCCACCAAAATGACTTGGAATCATCCTCTGAGGATCTTGAATATTGATACTGAAGTATTCAGATCTTTCAATTACATCAAGCATAAATTAAATTCATTACTCACTCTGGATAAAACTCGTTCACCCAGCGCAGGAGGAAATTGCAGTCCTTGTCCTCCAGACCATAGTCTGCAATCTTTCTGAGTCTGGAGCTAAAGGTTTGGTGGTACAGCCGGGCGTAAAAATTACAGATGTCCGTCTCTGGTGGGTAGCAACCCTTCACCACATCCACCACCATAAGTAGGTCCATCTTCAGCTGCCTGCCCATGCCGTTGATGTGTGCTGCCACAGACGACTGCTCTACCTGGCTGGGAGGGGGCATTGAAGGTTTGTCCATACGATCCTTTACCAAGGTGCGGAGAGTTTTGTCGTGGAGCTCCTTCCAGCCGTTGGGCCTCCAGCTCGGGGCTGTCTGACCCCTCTGCTTCCACAGTTGATCCTGCTTGTCCTCCTGGTAGACGGCCTTCACAGCAGACATCAATGCCTTGGTGCCGACCTCTCCCGCAGTGACAGACAGACTCTGCTGTAGACTCTGCTCGATGTGACGTTTCAGGACGCTGTAGTCTGCAGCAAGCTTGTTCACGTTTTCCGCATGATCTGAAAGTCCCTCTGCCTCTGTTATCTCCCCAAACAGACGTTCCTCTCTGTCCATCAGCAGCTGGCTGGCCTCACTAAAATGGCGTTCCTCGAGGTGTTGCTCAAATGTGATGATCACTGCGAGAGAAAAGCAAAGAGGAGGCTCTTTTAAACTGTGCCAAATGTTGTTTATAAGAAAATGAGGCATCTAAACTTCATAGAAGAAATGCAGATAAACAGAGTTTCTCTATTATTGGTTAATAGTTTGTTGCTGCATTATAAAATAGTTTCTCTATGGTTGCACACACAACCTGACAAATATTTAATATTTGTCAGGTTGTTTCCATCTCAAGGAGACTTAATTACAGATAAGTGATTTCCTATAGTATCACGTCAGTATTGGTGCAATAATTCCTCGCTGAAGTTGTATTTTACACACCATGTAAGTAATAAAACACTGCCAGAACACAACTGTACCTCTGTTCCTTGTGCTACTTGAAGGTGAAATGTGAACTGCACCCTCATTCAAACACATTCAACACAACATTAACATTAGCTACTGTAAGAGCAGGGTGTTAATTAAATGTCTGCTACCTTGTTGAGACAAATCATCTCTGGGCGAGGTGCGTCCATCAGTGGTGAAGGGGGCTGTGACACTGTCCTGACCTCTGGGGCCTCTAAAAAGTTTCTTGAACCAGCATCCCGCTGATTTAGTACCGTGGCCGGGGAGAGAGTTGAACTTGAAGCCGTCTGGCTCTGTGGAGCCTGACAGGGTCCGCATCCTTGTCCGGGCAGAGAAACGGGAGCAACGGACTGAGAAAGGCGCTGACAAATCTGTGGAGACAAAACAGCGCCAAATGTTGTCAAGGAAAAGTAAAAAGTAAGTTACAATCTGAAATTTGTATGTTGGCAGTTCACCTAAGGCTAACGCTAGCTAACTGACTTAGCGCGCTAAAATATTTGAATTTAGTTGTTGCTGCTTTCCTACTTTTTGTATTTTAGTTAGCGATTTTTAAAAACAATTCTGTCTTTTCGTTTTTAAAATACTACATAATGATATGTTCTTATATTTTAAATAAAAAGAAGGCTTCAAAATCGGTGCTAGCTAAACAATTAAGCTAGTATAACTTCCTGTGTTATTTTCAAAATAAAACCCTAATGAGCATATTTTGTTTTTTGTGCAAAGGCTATCGAAGATAAATATGAACCTATACTAGAAGATGAATCTGTAGTACAAGGGTTGCTTGTTTTTTTTTTTAAATTGATGAATAAATAAATACATTAACTTAAATTAAGTTACAAAACTATTAGCTACAGAAGAGAGCAAGTTAAAACTCTGTGGTGTTGTGGTTCAACATTATCATCCTCATCACAGTAAGTACAATCTTAATATTCCATGAGTAAAACAAAATTAAAATATATAAAAACATGAAAAAAGAGGGCATCAAGTAACATGTGCAAATATCAGGTAATCCAAATATACGTTTTCTATTATATTGCTCACATTTCAACCAAATGTATGAATAAAAATAATAAAAATAAAACAAATATGTATAATTAAAAACAATCTAGACATTATAGACATAACTAAAATCTAAATTGACTGAATAAGCACAAGGGAGTTCAAACTGAAATCTCACCCAGTCCCTACAAATTAAATTAAACAGTACTTGCTTTATGAGTTTAGTTGAAATATTCTTGAGGGTAAACACTCAATAATCCAGTCCAGAGTAGACGTGGACATAAAAGTCTGTTGTGCCTTCTTTTTCTTTAACTACCCCAGAGCATGTTACTCACCTCACAGCGGCTGTAAATGGTAACAGTACAGTTTGAGGGTCCTTTTAAAGCAGCGACAAGCTCCTCCTGTTTAAGCTCATGCATGTGGAAGATTGGAAAGTCCACACACACACACACACACACACACACACACACACACACACACACACACAGACTCACACACACACACAGCTGGGCTTTTTTTAGACACACTTGAGCTGAAGTAATGTTGGAATCTGCTAGAGAGGAAAGTATTTTATCAATACTTTTGAAATTCTGTACAGACATTCATGATGCCTAGAGGAGGAATCCCTCTGACTTTAGTGATCCTCTGACTTTTCATGTAGCGCCACCAACAGGTGGAAATCTCCACTTGTCCAACACCACTTTATGACAGGATGCCTAATGGCCAACTTCCTGCCAGAGATTCATGTGTTTATACTTTCATGTTAAGAATAGCATACTTCATATATGTAGGGCTGAAAGATTATTTTAATTTTCTCATAGTTTTCTCAGTTGGTCAATGAATCATTTAGTCTGTAAAACATCAGAAAATTACAAAAATACCCATTTCAATTGTCCTCTTTATGTGAATTTATAGATATATGATTGACTGTAATTAAACATCAAACAAACCCAGCAAAGTCTCACATTTAAGAAGCTGGAGCCATCAAGTGTTTGCTTGAAAAATAACCCAAGCAATTAATAGATGATGAAAATAGTAGTTGATTAATTTCTCTTGTTCAACTTCATGATTAGTTGGCAAATAGACTTTACATGTGTGATGAGCATTACAACCTCAAGGCAGCGCTAGTGTGGATGTGAACCTTCAGTGTTCTGGTAATTATTTCAAACTCAAAACAACCTAATGTCCAATTGAGTTTATTGTGACATGTAAATAATGGCTTCTGTCCTTCAGGAGCAAAAGCAGAAATGACATGGGACACCACTGTACACATCCTGAATACTGGTTTCCATTAGCCGTGACCACAGTCATACCCTCAACCAAGTACCAACACATAACCGACCGCAATAGTTAATTATTTTAACAACTAATTTGCAACAGTTAATACGTTTTAGGAAGCGTAATGCCGACCAGATTAAGTTTTCTATTTAACATAATAAGGAAATGTTGTTAATTGGTTAATATGAGTAAATTTTCACAGACAACTTAATCATTTTCTGCCAAAATACTGATCTTGCAGTACAATATTCACCCATACTGACAGTATGGGTGAATATGGGTGACAGTATTAAACTTAACTGTCAGCAGCATATTTGTGTTGTTTACAACGTATTCAAATAGTCAAATAGTTTTTAAATTTAGTAAACAATAGCTTTATTCACTGGTCCCATTATATTTGTGTTATTGTCTTCAGAAAACATTCAGGCCGTCTCCACTTGTCCATCATTATTTCACATTTTATATTTTACCCTTTTTGCTGTCAGTATGTACAACCCAAAATAACAACTTAAAAAACAGGATTTTAGACATTTTTACAAACGTATGAAAAATAAAATCCTGAAATGAAGACATTTCAATCAATACTCAGCAGAAGCATCACTTGCCAATGGGTAGATTTCCCTATTTCCTCCTCCGCACCTCAGTCAGGTGACGCTGGTTTTCTTCTAAGGGACTCTCTGAATTTTGTCTTTAGTTCATCATTCTGCTTCTTTCGGACAATCCCCGTTCTAGCTGTGGATAATCCCTGTATTATCAACATATTTCACTTCTTTTTTTTTTTTCTTTTTTTTTTTTGGGGCTTTTGTGCCTTTATTGGACAGGATGGTAGAGAGAGACAGGAAATGGGGAGGCAGATTCGAACCGGGGCCTGCTGCAGTGAGGACTGTAGCCTCTACATATGGGGCGCCTGCTCAACCCACTGCGCCACTCGACGCCCCATATTTCACTTCTTAAAAGTACAAAATACTGTACATAATGTATTCAGTATTGTCTCTATGTTTGTTCCGACATTATATCAAAACTGCATGATGACTAAATTGAAATCCCAGATGCTTTTTATAGGTGGTCTTCATCATTTTGTTTCCCCAAACTCTGCTGCACATATTTAGTGTCTTTGGGTTCGTTCAGGACTTTTTGAGACATCATGGTGATGATTCAAATGTCGAAAAAAACCATAGGTCTCAGAATAAAGATGCATCAATATTTTCTAAACCTCAGGATAAGATTTTCTCCCACCCACACTGACCTTTAAGAGCACAGATACCAATACCTGACACCAACATCAGCACTTTCAATGAGTTTTTACACATTTTAATGGAGATATTGTTTTTCTTTTGCTTCCACTTCAGCTGCAGTATTTTTATTTATTTATTTTTTACTTTATTAGAGCTGGTTCATCTCTGAATAAAAGCCCTTGTATTCTGGTGTGCTTATATTGCCTCTATAGTTAGATAATATTCATCATATCATCGTGTCTGTGTGATATAAAAACTCATGCAGCAGCAATGTTTGCAAAGTAGCTCAGACCATAAGTTCTGTGATAAGGTGTGTGATACAATGACTGTATTGTCCTTTTGTATACAGATAAATAATGCAATGAATTCACTCCATAGTAATGTACAATAAGATTAAAAATATTAAATAAATCAGTCTTTAATACTCCTAAAAGGAACCATTTAGACTATATGCATTTAATTTTTTCAAGTATATTTTTATGTGTTATATCTAATGTGATGCTTTTTGCTATATAAGGTTGTTCAGTATGTAATGCAGTATAACATATGTTTACAAGACATGGTATGTTAAAGTAAAACTAACAACTAAGTAATTTGTTTTATGATAAAAAAAAATATTATAATATAAAATATTATTCTAATATACAACAGATGCAAATTGTATATTTTACAATAAATAGGATTCTAGCAAGCCAATTCAGTCACCGTCACCTGTTTAGTGTTTACATCACCTCGGATGATGCTGTGAACTATGAACAGTTTGTCTCACCTTCTGCTCTGCGGCCTCTGTAGGGAAAACAGCAGCAAAGCTTCCAACACATCGCTCCTGAAGGCAGCCGGACTCACAGATGTGTAAAGTTCATCTGTCTGGGCAGCAGCTCGAGCAAACGCTGAACCGAGGGTAAGATGCAAATAACATTTGATGTCAGGATGTAGGTTAAATTATGCTGTCAGAAACTCAGCTGATTTCCATTTATGTGCATTTCCTTTGAGGGTTTGTGATGCATGAATCCTGTCAAACTGACGTGTGTACATTATATCACGTAGTCTTTCACACTGTGGGCCAGGTGTTCTTTTATGGTTCTTCATGAATTCATACTTCTCAAAGTGTCTTACAAAGAGGAATGAAGTTCATACCACAAACGACCCACAATTAAAACTGACATACTTCTGCAGAAAACAGAGAAGTCTGAGGCGAGCTCAGGTTTAAATTTGTTTTCTCTGCTTTAGCCACAGCACCTTGTATTTTATATGTTGCTATAGTGCGGTAAGAGTTTGTAGTACACCTTGCTTGTTCAGAAATAATCAGTGTGGTTTGTAGAACTTCTCACACATGCAGCTGACCTGATTTAAACCTGTTGTTACTCAGGTCTGCAGGTCTTAAAACAGCAACATACATTTGTTTGGTATTTGTTTAACCCGTCCTACCTGTGTGTGTGACACAGACTAAACCGAGGATCCACTAACTTTCTGATTGTAGTTTAGTAGCTTTTCCACACGTTTCAGTGGTTGATGCCTTTGGAAAAAGTGGCTGCTGAGAAGAAATTATTTTCAGATGTGATCAACAGTTACATAATATTGTCATTGGAAGCCTTTATTTCTTTTACTTTCGAAAATATTTCTTTGGAAACAAAGAAAACTGCAACCCACTGCCTGTTGGGATTTACCTGCAGCTTTCCAACAGAGGAAATGAATGACACTGATGGACTCTGTGCACGTGTGTGTGTGTGTGTATGTGTGCGTGTGCCCAGTGAATTGATTTTCACCTTATAAATCTGAGTCATCTAAATCCTTGCTAAACTAATCTCAAGCCAAAAGTTTGATTCAAAGGTAGAAAATCTGCCTTTTTTCTTGAGAAATTCGGTTCAATCACATTGTCTTCATCAGCAAAGGTTTTGTTTTCTTATCTATCTTTTTCCCCTCAGACCAGAAGTCCTTGAAGTGCTGCAAAAATGCAGATAGCTGCTGATGAAGATCATGCAATACAACCAAAAGCTCCAGGACAGCAATCAAATGGTCATGGAAGGTGAGTGAGATTGTTTTCTTGATGGCTGTGACGCAGTTAAAGAGTGAATTTTGAACCTTAATCTTTTTGTGTTTCTCAACCAAACATAATTCAAAATAATGTCAATTTTACTCCCTTGTATTAACCTCTGCAGCAAAGTAAATATTTACTTTTGAACCGTTAGATTGTGTGTTTAAAGACTAATATGGATGTGGGATTCGGATTACACATTTACTTGAAAGAGGTTTAAATCAATTTTTGATAGTGATCAGCAGTTTTCATGTGTCTGTGTTTACAGAAGAGGAACTGGTTTGTATTTCAATATTTTCTTTCATTGACAACGTTTTCACGAAAAGGGTTTTTTGACATAATTTTCCTCCATAATGTCCCAAGAGCCGTTGTGGTCGATGTGACATTCAAACAACATGTTGACACACCATGGCTTTGCAACACAAGTGAACCAACCAAACTAAAAGTGAAAGTATCAGAAGCACAAACTTTCATCAGTGATAGACAGCAGATGTCATGTGAAGCTGAAAGTAGCAGATGCCACAATGACCACAGGTACAAAAAGTGGAAACGTGTGCACATGTAAGAAAGAAGAGAATTTACTGGAAATAAGGTGTTTATCATCCCCTGCAGCCAGTTTTGCAGCAGATGTTTTCAGTATTTTACATGTGATGAAGCTGTGATCGTAGGAGGTGTGTCCTTCTGAATCACAGGAGACCACCATGAGTAAAGGTCCACGTCTCCAGGTATAAGACCCTGAGAAACATCAAGAACAAACCAAGACTATACTTTCAGGGATCATTTCTTTAGTCCTTGACTTGAGAAATGTGTTTCTAAAGAGTTTGGTCTCGCTGCCCACGATGAAGAGTGAAGATGTTTCCTTCAGAGCAGGAAACTGGTGGGAAGACTTTGTTTCTTCTCCACTGTTGAAGACTGTTCAGTGTTTCTGAAGGAGACACTGATGGAGGAAACATGATCTGAGTGGACAGCTGCTTATTTAATAAAGTGAAACTAAAAGAAGGTTTTTAATCAACTAGAGTTTAAAAACAAGTCAGTGATCTCTGTCTTGTTAAAATATTCACTCAAAACGCAGAATAGTAGCTTCTAGTAGTAAATGTGAATTAAAAGCCAAAAATGTCAAACACACAAAACAAAATGAAAGTAACCAGTAGTGATGTTCACCTGTGTATGTGATCGCTGCAAATTGTGTTTTTCATTTCTGAATTTTGGTCCGAAAATATTTTACTTTTAGTTCATATAAATAATTTTTTCCTCGACTCTTTTTACTTGTTTCTTGTTTGATTTCTTTTCTTCTTTTCGTGAGATATTTATCACTTTGTCTTCTCTGTCATCACAGCTGGACGTGTCCAACATTTCTTACAATGAACTACAACGGGATTTTTAAAGCTAAAATTAAATTCAAGATTTCAATCGAACATAAATTTTGAAACGAATGTTACTGTCATCTCCAAATCTGACAATAAAGTGACAATAAAGAGAAACTTCTAAGTGATTCATAGTTATTAGTTCTAACAAGTGAAGCTCCAACAGTAAAGATAACGAAGCTGGAGACGAAGCTGTGATCGTAGGAGGTGTGTCCTCCTGCTCCACGTGACTCCACCAGGAGTAAAAGTGGTCGTCTGTAGATATAAGACCCTGAGAAACATCCAGAACAAACCAAGACTATACTTTCAGGGATCATTTCTTTAGTCCTTGACTTGAGAAATGTGTTTCTAAAGAGTTTGGTCTCGCTGCCCACGATGAAGAGTGAAGATGTTTCCTTCAGAGCAGGAAACTGGTGGGAAGACTTTGTTTCTTCTCCACTGTTGAAGACTGTTCAGTGTTTCTGAAGGAGACACTGATGGAGGAAACATGATCTGAGTGGAGCTTTTGGATTAATCTAAAATAGAAATCAGCTTTTGAACTGTGGTTAAAACTTCTAAATGTAGTTAATCTGTAGAGAGTAAATGAAACTGCTGGTTCTCTATAAAAAAATAATTTGAGATTTAGATTAAGGGTCAGACAGTTGTTTATTGTTAATGACCTGTTGTGCAAAGAAACACAAAAGGTTTATACATGACTCATTATGAAATACTGTGTGTGTGAGTGTGCGGTAAGTATTCAAACACACACACATACCAGCACCAAGTCGTTAATGATTTACCGACATGATTTACTGGATGAAGTTGTCTTGAACTCACTCTTTTATTCAGACAAAAAGACTGAAGAGATTTGAAACCCTGATCTGCATTTGTTTAATTGGCTGATCATGTGATTTCAGCTCGGTGTGTTGGGAAGCTTCTCAGCCTGAACTGGAGCAATAGATTCATGGATGTACGTCTCATTTTATTTCTTCCCTCAGTGTTACTGGTGTAATTTTTTTCCTACATTGTGCTCCATGATGTTTTCACTGTTTCCACAGTTTCACTTTTAAAAACGTTGTATATGTGTGTGTCTGAGGGAAGTGGAATGTGTGGGTTTGAAGTATTTTAACAGATTTTTACTGTAGGGGCTTTTTGGAGCTTCAGTCTTGTGCCAAACTTCCCTTCCTCCATGTGGCAAGAATGAACTTGGCTCAATATTCACCCACAGAGTTCACAGACATCAACATGCTGAAGGGGTATTCAAGCAAGACAAGGAACCCAGTCTTTCCAGGCTGCTCTCTTCCTGTTTGTCACTTTCCCTGTTTATTACAGAAGGATTCGACTTCTTAGGAACGCCTCGAGGCGGTCAGAAAACTTTATTGAACATTAATCGTGACAGTCTCAAACTTGCATCAGAACTCAAACCTGGAACTAACAGAAACCACATCGAGCAGCGGAGACAGTTACACACACGGCCTGAATCTTAACAGGAAACAAGTCATTCATAACTTATTGTAATATACTAAGAATGATTTATCATTTTGGCACGTTTTATGTGAAATATTAAACAAAAACCACAAAAAAAATTAAATAAGTGCCTGTTTATAACCTGTATTTCCAAATGTGCAAAAACTTAAAAGTAGACGATTTACCTTATGATCTACAGTTTATTTACTTTTTTTTTTGTGCTTTTTGCAACTGTGAGTTTCTCCCTTATTGATGATGTGCAATGCATTGTGGGGCAGTATTGTCCATCAACATCAGACTCAAATTCAAGAGATTTTAGTCGCCTTCCAGTCTGAAGTTCATATTATATACTGAAAACGTGGTAAAAAAAAAACAAAAAAACCCCACTAAAATCAAGATCCACTTACCAGCCCTTTCTGGAGCTTTCAGCTGTGTCACATGGTCTTCATCGGAGGAGGATGTTAGGAGGATCCCATCCAGCTGTTACTGACAACTTTCATGCTTAACTCAGATGATGATGATGAATGAAGTAAAAGTGCAATGAAATGATGATGGTCCATCTCCGTGACGGCCAGGCAGACTCCATCTGCTGATGAAGACTGTGAAATATGATTGAAAGCTCTGGAAAGGCCTGGTAACTGGACCTTGAGTTGTGATTTGTTTTGTAGAATATGCTGCAGTGAGGTCCCAGACCACAGAGTGAGATTAGTGGATTATCCACCTGTCTTCCCAATATCATGGAGCTGCCATCAATTGACATTTTTATAGATCGGTCAAATAGTTTTCCGTCTGCACCCTCGGTTTAAAACAGAGCTTCTGACAAAGAGAACGATAGTTTACCACAGTAAATACCTAGATAATGATGATTAAAAACTGTATTTTAATTAAAATTCCTTCATTCCCGACAGGATTCCTGACAGTGTCGATGCTTTTACGCTCTTATCCCATCACTGTTGCTCAGAATAATATGACTTTGTGACGATCAGCTACTTCCAGCTTCTTACTTTAATC